AGTGGCAGCAACAGCAGCGACAGTAGTAACAGTGCTACTGCTAATGTGGTTGCTGCTACTGTTGATGTATCCTCCTGATGCTACTGCTGCTGATGCTACTACTACTACTGTTACCGCTGTTACTACTGTTGCTGCTGCTGCTACCGATGTTGCCACTGTTACTACTATTGCTGCTGCTGCTACCGCTGTTACATTCCTTACGCTGCTGTTGCTGCTACTGTTACTACTATTGCTGCTGCTGCTACCGCTGTTACTACTGTCGCTGCTGTTGTTGCCACTGTTACTACTGTTGCTGCTGCTGCTGCCGCTCTTACTACTGTCGCTGCTGTTGCTGCTACTGTTACTACTATTACTGCTGCTGCTACCGGCAGCGGCGGCAGCAGTAGCAGCAGCAGCAGCAACAACAACAACAACAACAACAACAACAACAACAACAACAACAGTAGCAGCAGCAGCAGCATCGGCAGTAGCAGCATCAGCAGCAACAACAACAACAGCAGTAGCAGCAGCAGCAGTAGCAGCAGCAACAACAACAACAGCAGTAGCATCAGCAGCAGCAGCAGCAGGGGAAAACATCATCAGTAGCAGGCAGGCGGGCTGTAGGGAACAGCGACACGCAGCAGCCAGCCAGCAGAAGCTAGCCGAGGTAAATTGCTGCGCCACAACTCGGGCGGTGGATCGTTAGAAGATTAGCTGGAAGTAACGTGATAATGGGTGCGCCGCCAGAACACCGCGTATATTCGCCGGGTTTTATAGACGCAAATTGGCAAAGATGGTCGAATATCTGTCGGGGAATATATGTAGCGAAGCGTAGGCTTAACGCATAAACATAACCTACAACATGTGGCCGAGCGTATTATCATAACCTATTACATGTAGCTGTTTAACAGAACACAATACATATTTTCACACGTAGTTATTAACATAACCTATAACATAAAGCCACGCGTGTTATCATAACCTATTACACATAATAGCCACTCGCATTAACATAACCTACAACATGTAGACACGCGTATTATCATAGCCTATTACACATAGCCACTCGCATTAACATAACCTAAAATGGCATATAATTATATCAGACCAATAGCAGAGTTCACTACATCGACTACACTGCCCTTTGTCCGTGTAATGATAAATTAGGAATACGGAACAATCGTATTTTCTCATCGTCTTCCTTCGCCGCATTCCCCCCCTCTCTCTCTCTCTCTCTCTCTCTCTCTCTCTCTCTCTCTCTCTCTCTCTCTCTCTCTCTCTCTCTCTCTCATCTACCTTTTCTGCCACGCTTTCTCTATCTACTCCTCTCTTTCACTCCCTCTCACGCACACTTTCTCACTCTCCCTCTATCTCCCACTCACATACTTTATTTTTCTCCCCCACCTCTCTCGCTCTTTCTCTGTCTCTTTCTCTCACGCACACACATTCCTTCGCTCTCCAAAGTCATTACCGCTTGCACTGGCATCAAACCCTCCACTGAACCATCCGGTTAATGTTCCGAGAGCGACAAAAAATTGTTTAGCGCGTCTTCTTGAAAGACGTGAACTTTACAGAACGGACATTTATCGCCTGACGCCTGTTCCCTGCTCTCGTGTAATCACCCCTTTAACCTCGAAGATTCGGGGCAAAACTAGCACCCGTTAAGCGAAAGAGAGAGAGAGAGAGAGAGAGAGAGAGAGAGAGAGAGAGAGAAAGCGTGCGACACGCTGGGCGGGGAGCGGAGGACATCTTGGACTGTGACGCATGCACGAACACATATGTCGAGTGATATCTCTTGCAAAACGGTGGGGGTGCACATCGTACTGAATAACGCCAAATAGTCAGGTTCAATACCTGATATCAGCAGCAGCGGCGGTCGCGCCGAAGACATCGCTGTGCTGTGTTTAACGAGGGGGAAGGAGAGAGGATTAAGCGAGCACTGACAGCAGTCAGTCCGTCTGTCCGTGTGTGTAACTGCGCTGACGTTGATGGACGCAGATGGCAGTCGCTCTCAACCCACGCGTACATACACACACACACACACACACACACACACACACACACACACACACACACACACACACACGCGCGGATACAGCGCAGTATAGCTAGTAGCCAGCGTCTCAGATCGAACACGTCTGGCCGCCGCCGTCGTCGTCAAATTCGCACGTGTAACTCCCTTGTGTGTGTGTGTGTCGTCGGCAAATACTTAGCTTGTTCTGCGCAATATCAATCTTGATCACGCTCCGTCCGAATTCGTGTAGTCTGTCTGCAACGAGCGTTGTGCGGATGACAACGACGTGAGGGCGAAACACGGGAGGATATGTGCTCGGGCGTGTGCGTTTACGCGCGACGCCCCTAAATGGAACGGCAAATTCTGAGGCGAAATCGCGAAACGAGGTTAAATCTACTTAAGAAAAGCCGTCGCTTTCCTCCAAGTTGAGGGACTGACGACTGTCCATGAATCTAAAATTAGAAACGGGCGACGACTGTGGCGACGACGGCAGTATAGATGCAAGCGCCGCCACCACCCTCGGGCGACTAGACATTTAGAATCAACTGCCGACTGGATCAGCTCATCTGTTCTCTCATCTAATGTCTACTGAGAGAGAGTCCGCATTCTATTATCTCTCTGGCTGAGTGTGACCACCGATCTCCTGTATACTCTTATACGTGTATAAACGCGCGACTGTCGGTGTTTCCCTGTGTTGGGGAGAGATTACTAGCAGAGACTTGTCAACATGCAAGTTCCATCGGTGCATGCTTCTTGTCACAACATGAGCGATGGCCATTTGGAAGGCCGCCCGTTCAACGCCGATCTGTTTGATGACCTTTATTATTCTCGCATCTCGATCAAATAGCTCGCTTACTAAACGCGCTTTGCGCGGGATCGCGCGGGAAAGGATGTACGCGAGAAGATTGCAGCCGGGGTAAATGAGTGTTTTCTTTCCGTATGTTCTGCCGTTAAACGCACGATCAGACGATTTTAAGGTTGCGCCTTAATTGCTCATTAATACACGCACGACATCAGATTGCTCCGGATCCCGTATGTGTAGAGAAATTTTACCCAGGGAATATATAACTTGCCGGCCGATAATTATAAAAAGGATGTTTTCTCTTTACCGCCTTTCATTGTTCCCGATAGGTGGCGCGATTGGAGTTTTAGACTATCACGTGATGCAACATTAATTTGTTGCTAAAACCTATTTTATAGAACACTTATAAATTCAGCGACGTCTAGCCAAGCGTTGTAGCGGTATCATAATAAAATAATAATAAAATATAAAACGCTACGATATGTTCACGACACTCAAAAGCTATATTAATCATTGAACGATAAGCTATAGCGTATCGGCGGATATGACGAAATATAACATCTGTACATTGTTCCCATCTGTGCGTCTATAAGTGCCGTGTGCATACGCGTTTGTTGCGTTTTTTGCCTTTACATTCACCGTTTCGAAGTTGTATTACATTCGTGCATTATTCACTGTTCAGTGTCGCCAAAGTTAGTAACGACGCAGAGCACGCAATCCGAGATTGTCACGCTAGAAGGCAGGGAGGTCGTTATTGAATGCGAGGCAACAGGAAATCCGCAGCCGAACATCACGTGGAGGCGATCCGACCACAAAGTTATGAACCTACCGATGCCGTGTAAGTGAACATGCAGGCATGCAGGAGTGTGTGTGTGTGTGTGTGTGTGTGTGTGTGTGTGTGTGTGTGTGTGTGTGTGTGTGTGTGTGTGTGTTGTTAACAGCAGACCCTTGTCGTGTTTTTACCGGTACGGCTATGTCGTATGGTAGATCTAGCGTTATCAGTACCGTAGTTTAGAGTTAGCAATACTGCACGGGTCGCGAGTTATCAGTACGTTTATAATATGCGCAAAGTTAACAGCACGTTTATGACGTGTTTAAGAATTTACAGCATGTTTATGACGTGTTTTAGAATTAACAGCATGTTTATGACGTGTTTTAGAGTTAACAGCACGTTTATGGCGTATTTTAAAATTAACAGCATGTTTATGGCATGTTTTAGAATTATCAGCTCGTTAATAGCGTGTTTTAGAGTTAACAACCTGTTTATAGCGCCATTTACATTTATCAGCGTGTTTATAACGCGCCTCAGAGTTATCAGCACGTTTATGACGTGTCTTAGAGTTATCAGCATGTTTATAACGTGCCTCAGAGTTATCAGCACGTTTATGACGTGTCTTGGAGTTATCAGCACGTTTATGACGTGTTTTAAAATTAGCAGCATGTTTATGGCGTGTTTTCGAAATATTGGCATGTATATGCTGTGGTTTAGAGTTATCAGCTCGTTTATGAAGTGATATAACATTAACAGCATGGTTATTGCGTGTTTTTTTAGAGTTAATAGCCCGTCTGTGGCATGTTTTATAGTTAGTAGAACGTGTCTGCAACGCTGTAGGGTTAGTAGCGCTGATAGGGTCTATGTCCCCCGGGGTACTGCCGGAACGTACCCTGGGTACGGTCCGGTATACCGGAACGTACCCTGGTACTATATTATATGCCGGACCGTACCTAGCCTACTCCACTAACGAGTCTAGGGAGCCGCCTGCGCCTACTCCCTAACCCGAACCCGAACCCGAACCCTAAACCTAACCCTAACTCTAACCCTAATCCTAACCCTAACCATATCAAATAGTGACCAGGGTACGTTCTGGTATACCGGACCGTACCCAGGGTACGTTCCGGCAGTACCCTGGGGGACATAGACCCTATGAGCGTTAGGAGCACATGTCTGCTATGTTCTTGAGTGAGCAGCACGCCTAGGACTTGCTTTAGAATTATCGGCATGTTTATTTAGGGGTGTTTTAGAGTTATCAGAGCACGCTCGTGTTGTGTTCTGGAAGCATCCGAGCGTGTATTCCGTGTTTTTCCGAGTTAATCCGCGCTAGTTTTGGCGGTTATTTCTCCGTTCCGTACACAGTAATTATATGCTAGGCACCGCGATTACGAAAGTCCAGAACCATCGATGTCGTCGATTTTTTTGCTTTTTCCAAGCGCTCTCGTTATTCTCCGCCGAGCTTCTGCATGGCTAGAGATTGACCGCCGTTTCGAAGCAAAATAATTTATTTTTGAGGGGCATCGCGCACGATTGTCCCGCAAAGTGGTTCGTTTACTCGTAGGCAGTTTTCATTGAAGTGTACAATCACGTATGATAATAATTCGACCGACGCAGCCTCATCGCTCGCTATACGACAGCGTAATGCTGTATTGGAACGTTCATTGCGCGAGCACGACCGAGTACGCCTCATTAAAAATTCTCTTATTATTGTCGTGTGCTCGGTGGCTCTCCCTAATCGTGCTAGTTATCTTAACTATTTTCTCCAATTTCTCGAACGTTTCTTTTAACGACCTCAGAAAAGGTTATCAGCGATGTAAATGAAAGACTCTAGGGTTGCGCGGATTTTTCCGCTGCGATGGCGAGCACGTCTTCTGCATGGCTACTCCCCGTCCAGTTAGTACGCATCAGCTAATTTTTATCAATAGTCGGGCAGACTTTGCTGAACTGATCGACCAGTCGGCCGTAGCTCTCCTGTGTCGTTGCAGAGATCAAATTACCGCCGACGACGTCTGCGATCACAGGTAAGCACGTTAATATACTCCCGCCATTACACCTAACCCAGGTACAACTACGGGGACGGCGTGTGTGTGTGTGTGTGTGTGTGTGTGTGTGTGTGTGTGTGTGTGTGTGTGTGTGTGTGTGTGTGTGTGTGTGTGTAACACAGCGAATAGCGCGTAAAGATTAAAGCTATGCAGGTGTTACAAATGCGCGCGAACGTGCTGGCTGCACGCGCGCGTATATGCCGCAGCTCGTATTATTAATTATTAATTATGCGCCTTCATCATTATTTAAAAAGGGTCGGTTTATGTGTCGGATGTATCGACGTTGAGTTTCCATGAATTAATGGTGTTGTATTCAGTCCGCGTTTTTTTCTCTTAATGCATGTGCATCTGTGGCGACGTTTTTGTATGATATGGGGGGGGGGGACAAAATGAGAATAGTATGTAAAGGGAAACATTTCGCACTCCTTTAGAATCTACGCTTAGACACGGATCGGGACACGCAGACGGTCGAAATCGAAAAGGGAAAAGCAAAAACAGAAGCAAAGGTGAGCACGTAGTGTGTGTGATAGGGCAGATCAATATTTAATTAAATTCCAAACACAGACATTTCACTGTAGCTTGCAGACTGCCTCGCCAGCGGCCTAACAATGCATGCCTCTATTTTTACAAGCTGTTTACTCGGCGAACGCACGTTTTCAATTGCGAATTTTTTTTGAATTTCCGACCGGTTAAATATTCATTTATAGATGTACGCGGCTAATAGCATGTATTCACAATTTCACCAGCATCTAGTAACTGACTCTCTCGAATTATTGCCTTCTGCCATATCGCTTTGAATACGCGTGGTTGCATTTTGGCTTGCGTTTGAATATCGGTGTTATAACTGGGGCTGGCACATGACGTCCGTTCTTCCTTCGGGTTAACAAATAACGAACATGCTTCCGAAGAATTCATATCCGACGGTGACACGTTCTATACGCTATATATTAAAATATTGTACGGGTGGATGAAGTTTATATTTCGTCATAGTGACTAATATGCGCAACGTAACATTTTTCGTGATAATTTAACTGGTGTGTACAATGTATGATGTACATAGAGTGAGCACAAAACGTACTCTGTACGTCCGGTACATAACACGCCCGTGCATGGTGAAAATACGCATAATATTTTGTACAAAATATTATTACATAACGCACAATGCATATAGACAAAAACTTATGTGTATTATGTACACATGTAATTATTATGTTCATATTATGTTTATTATATTATATTATATTATATTATCTTTATATATGTATTATTATTGTTATTGTATTACATAACAATACATGGCACATAACCTATATTGGCTTCGGTGTCAGTATACGTAACGTAGAGCCGAGGCCGAGTATACACAGTAAACATACTCACGTAAACCCATTGTATAGCGCGGGTTGTTCGTTCGTCTGCTAGGTTCCAATAATCAAGATGATGAAGACAAAACCTACACTGACAAGTTGAACGAACAAGGTACCGATCACCTGGCAGCACGCTCTCACGATGATAGGCTAGACGAAGGTAATTAGGGATTACCTTTTGTCGAAAAGGAACGCATTTACTTATGGCGCTCTAATCCAATAAGTTCGCCGACCCTCCGCGCAACAAAAACGCTTGACAATGCGGTAAATATGGACAGGTCCACTTGAATTATTAAAGGCAATATTTTTCATCCGTTCACTCTAGTTGATCTGCGGTCGTGCGTCACTAACGCTTGCATTCGTTTTAGCATACAGGCGAGAGAAAACATGAGCTCGCTCGCACACACACGCACAGACACACGCGCTCGCGCACGCAATATATATACACATACGTATCGACCAGTGTGTAAATAGGTATGCGCGCGGTGATAGGGTTAAAGATGGTATCACGAAGCCCTTTCAACGCGCCACCGAGTTTTCCCCAATGATGTGCTATAGCTGATGGAACGCCTGATGGACATCGGAACGATGTACGAAAACACGCGAGAGTCGGATGCCTACCCCGTAACGAGACTTCGTACATCATCACCTGCCCATCTGCGTGCCATTTGCCAATAGTCCATCGGGGAGCTATCATCTATCTTCTACGCTTCTATCGCGCGCAGGCATCAAACCGAATCCGCGCGCTATTTGTTTAAGACAAGATCGGGATCGAATGAGATTTCATTCATATTTGATTTTCTCGCAAATAAGGTTACGCATCGGGCCGCGAGAAGAATACACAGTCATATTTGCTACCTCCCCATCCCCACTTCCCCCTCCCCCCATCCGTCCTTCTACCCGCGTACTGGACGCGCACAGCTTTCGCGATGTCCTTTATAAGGCCGTCAATCGAATGGTGATCCTAATTCTTTCGACCTCAGATGGAAAATCGGTGACGTCAGAGCTGGAGGTGATCGAGGTTACTCCGCGAGATTTTGGCTTCTATTCCTGCTTCGTGTCGAACGAGCATGGCGAGGCAGAGGCAAAGGTCGAACTCTACGGTAGGTCTGTACGTACGTACGCATGCGTGCACGCACGGACACACGCACGCACGCATGAAAACGCGCGCACGCACACGCGCAGATGAACACACACGCAGAGGAACACACATGCACGCACGCACGAACACACACGCGCCTGCAAGCGCGCGCACATGAACACACACGCACACACGAACACACACGCGTGCACAGGAACACACACAAAGAGGAACACGCACGCATACACGAACACACACGCGCACACAGGAACACACACGCAGAGGAACACACACACATGCATGAACACACACACGCGCGCACGCAAGCACGCACTACTGTATCCGAATGCCTATACGCAACATTGTCTGCCATAGTTGCGGACATATTCGCTGCACGAAGGTGTCTACGTGCGTTAGCTCTAGTACTATAGCCCGCGTTCATTAACTGCCTCAGGGCTATAGAACATTGTCCGCTCGATTTCGCTTCTGCAGCAGTTCCCAACGTTCCCACGAAAAATCGCTTTACAAAACGCAAAATTATCGGGCTTTTTAACATTTATCTATCTACTTGGACATCTCACCTATCTTTCTGAACACTTTCCACAACTTTACACCATGTATTTATGCATTTATTACTCACAAGTAGGCAAAACACACAATTCGTTTTGAAATATTGTGGCGTGCGAACGCGTGACGTCACCGGATATATAGGCAAAACCCATGGAAGCTATGGTGCATGTATATACAATACCGGTGACGTCACGCGTTCGCACGCCACAATATTTCAAAACGAATTGTGTGTTTTGCCTACTTGTAAGTAATAAATCCATAAATATATGGTGTAAAGTTGTGGAAAGTCTTCAAAAAGATAGGTGGGCGGGCAAGCTGTTTAACGGAACACAATATGTATTTTCACACGTAGTTATTATCATCACCTATAACAAACACCTTATATATATTATATACCACCAAAAACCTATAACCGCTCGTATTATCAAAAGCTATTACGTATTTTTTTATCGTATTTCTCATAACTTAAGAACAATGTTGCCGCTCGCATCTCGGTGCGATTCCGATGGCTTGTTGTTTGTAATTAGGAGAAAATTAATTTTACGGAATTGTTCCAAGAAACGTATGAATTGCAGCAATTCGTGGCGTTAAAAATTAACCTGTATTCAGCTATCCACACTCTTCCTGGTCACAGTGATTACATTAATGTGATTTATATGAATATAGATGCTTATCCAGTTAATTGCTCGCACGGATCTTTTTAAACATAATTGTTGAATCTCTAGAGTTTTCAACAAACTGAAGCCCATGTGAATGTCAGATAAGTGCATAGACAATTGTCACGATCACCAGCCGCGCTTACACAGTCTATATGTAATTATAGCGCATATATATATATATATATATATATATATATATATATATAAACGCGTCACTGCGTGCGTATGAAACAAGTCTCGGCGTCGAGTCAGTAATTAATGATAACTAATTACTCGCCACCTTGATTAATTGTGATTCATCATCGTCCCGTAATCACATTATTCGCCATTCATCGAATCACCGCGTCACGGTAGACGTTTTCACTAACTGCCGCGATTCATTAACTACCAATAAACGTAATTAAACACCAGCGTCTGTGTTGACTAACCACCTCCGCCGTCGCCGTATCCACGGGCGATCCGGCAGACAACCGTGTCTGCGTTGACTAACTATCGTGTCGAGTTCGCGTCGCCGTATCCACGGACGCTGCGGCAGACGACCGTCCAGACGTCGTCGTCGCGCGTATTTCGCGATTTGATGGATTGTTTTTCTCGTCGTCGTCGGCAGTCGCTCCCGTCATCGTTCACACGTCGGAGAAGGTCGGAGCGGCCGTGACATGGAACGCGACGATACGCTGCTACGTGGAGGCTTACCCGCTGCCGACCGGCTACTGGCACAAGGACGGAGTCGCGCTGGAGCAGGGATCAAAGTATCAGTATGTGATGAAACCGTCAGGTTAGTTCTATTATGTCGTATCTTCGACGGCTTCCTGACGATAAATGTAGTATGCGCGCGCGCACGTGAGCACGCGCACGGATACAGACATACACACGCATAAGCACACGCACACACACACTCTCTCTCACACACACACACACACACACACACACACACACACACACACCCGCGGCGGTTTTAGTTGCGGACCGTGTCCTTTCGTCAACCTTTTCTTTATCGGCTCGTGTGTCCGCCGCCGTCTGGCCGCGAGGACACTGTTTGTCGCCGTGGTTGCGCGTTTTTGGGCGTCGCGCCTGGTCGGCCTTCTTTCCGCGGGTCTTCCCTCCCTCTCCCGCGCTCGTCGGCGGCGGGCTCATCCCGGCCGGCCGCCGGCGCCGGCGGGGCCCGCGCCCACCCACAAGGTCTTGCTGCGCCGTCCCCTCTTCGCGCGCAGAGCGCTCCGGCTGGTTCGGCGCGTCATGCGCGCTGTTGTGCCCTTGTCAGCCCTCCCCGACAAGAACGCCGCAGACGCACACACACTTACGCGTAACACGGCACAGGCATGGACCGTAGTCGCGGCGCGCGCACCACAGCACAACATCACCACACCCACACACAGCACACAGCATCACACACACACACTACCACACACCACAGGCACCACACCCAAACAGCATCACACACACCACACGACACAACAGCAACACAACACAGCACGATGCCGCGCCCGACACGCACGCGCCGCGCGCGCAGCCGCCGCAACAGGCTATCTTTTTGAAGACTTTCCACAACTTTACAGCCATACATATTTATGGATTTATTACTTACTAAGTAGGCAAAACACACAATTCGTTTTGTAAATATTGTGGCGTGCGAACGCGTGGACGTCAACCGGTTATTGTTATATACATGCATGCCAGTAGCTTCCATGGGTTTGTGCACCTAATAGGTATTGGCGGTGACGTCACGCGTTCGCACGCCACAATATTTCAAGAACGACCTTGTGTGTTTTTTGCCTATTGTGAGTAATAAATGCTATAAATGACATGGTGTAAAAGTTGTGTGACAAGTGTTCAGAAAGATTAGTGAAGATGTGCCAAGTAGGATAGATAACATGTTAAAAAGCGATAATCTTTAGCGTTTTTGTATAAGCGATTTTCGTGGAACGTTGGGAACACTGCTCAGAAGGCGCAAATCGGAGCCGCGCACAATGTTCTAGTATGCCCTGGCAGGCAGATTACTGAAGCGCGGGCTATAGTACTAGAAGCTAACGCACGTAAGCATCGTGACACCTTCGGCAGGCCGATATATGTCCGCAAGCTATGGCAGAGCATATGTTTGGCGTATAGGCATTCGATACAGAGGCGGCGCGTGCGCGCGTGTGCTGTGTATCATGCATGTGTGTCGTGTTCGCTCTTGGTGGTGTGTTCCGCTGTGTCGCGTGTGGTGTTCGTCGTATGCGTGCGTGTTCCTCTTTGTGTGTGGTTCCTGTGCACGCGGTGTGTGTTCGTGTGTGGCGGTGTGGTGTTCATCGTGCGCGCGCGTTGCAGGCGCGTGTGTGTTGCGTCGCGTGCGTGCAGTGTGTTCCTCTGCGTGTGTGTTCATCTGCGCGGTGTGCGTGCGCGCGTTTTTTTTCATGCGTGGCCGTGCGTGGTGTCCGTGGCGTGCACGCATGCGTACGTACGTACAGACTAGACAACCGTAGAGTTCGATCACTCTTCGGCGCCTTCTGCCCCTCGCGCATGCATCGTTTCGACAACGGAAAGCCAGGAATGAGAGAGGCGCAAAATCTGCGGCGACGATAACCTCGATCACCATGCCAGCTCTGACGTCACCGCCGGATTTTCCATCTGAGGTCGAAAGAATTAGATTCACCATTGCGAATTGAGCGCCTATAAAGAACATCCGCGAAAGGCTGTGCGCGTTCAGTAACGGCGGGTAGAAGGACGGATGGGGGGGAGGGGGAAGTGGGGATGGTGAGGTAGCAGGAGGGTGATGACTGTGTATTCTTCTCGCGCGCCCGATGCGTTTAACGCTTGATTTGCGAGAAAATCAAACTATGAATGAAATCGTCATTGCGATCCCCGATCCTTGTCTTGAAACACATAGCGTGCTTCGGGATTCGGTTTGATGCCATGCGCGCGATGAGAAGCGTAGAAGATAGATGGATCGAGCTCCCCGATGGACTGATTATGGGCAAATGGCACGGCAGTATGGGCAGGTTGATGATGTTCGTAAGTGTCTCGTTTGACGGGGTGGCTTATCGACTACTTCTTGCGTGTTTTCGTACGCATCGTTCCGATGTCCTATTCAGGCGTTCGCGATTCAGCGTATACACTATTCTATTGTTGTGGAAAAGTCTCGGTGTGCGCGTTGAAGGCTTCGTTTGATACTATCTTATATTCCCTAACTGCACGCGCGCGCATACCCTATTGTATTCTAGACATTCTGGTCCGACGTACGTAGTGTGTATTATATATATATTCATATATATAGATATATATATATATATAATTATGGGCGTGTGTGGTCGTGCGTGGCGTGTGGCGGGCGGTTGCGTGCGTCGCGTCGTGTGTGTGTGTGTGTGTGTCGTGTGTGTGTGTGTGTTTTGTGTGTGAGTGTGTGTGTGTGTGTGTGTGTGCATGTGTGTGTGTGTGTGTGTCGTGGTGGTGTGCGTGTGGCGTTGCGTGTGTGGCGTGTGGTAATCGTGTACATGTGTGTCTGAGTGTGTGTGTGTTGTGTGGCGTGCGTCGTGCGTACGTACGTGCTGGCGCGTGTGTGCTGTGTCGTAGCGTGCGTGTGTGATTATGTGTTGTGTGTGCTGG